CATTGGTGCGTCCAACCACCCATCCTTCCATTGGTCCATCCATCACTGCAGACGTTTGTTCTCTGGTCAGGTTCTAAGCCTCCCAGCCTGTTCTCTGAGGGCAGCCCTATTCCAGGGTAGGCCAGAAAGTAAGAGTGGGGGTGGGGGCGCAGAGACTCAGTCCATCCCTTTGGCAATCTCCAGTGTCCACAGCACTGCTGTGACCCCGACCACCATGGGCCGGATAGCTGGGCTTACACAACAGAGGGTGAGTGGCGGCCCAAAAGGGCAGTGGAATTATCTCTTTCCCCAGGTATGAGGCTTCCTGCGCAAGGGCCCCTGAACTCCAGGGACCCTGTTCCAGGGGAGAAGCTGCCGCTAGAGAGAAATTGGGTCCAGGTGAGAGGAGGGGGATGTGCTTTGCAATTGTGCTCCAAATCATCCAAATTGTGCTGTGGACAGTGTGCTCTGGAAATCTCAAGAAAGGGGCGGAGGCCACCACTCTGGGCTCCAGGATGGACTGGGGATGGGGAGAGGACAGTGGGGAGACTAAGCCCTAATGGAGGCAGGAAGGGTTCAAGCCTAGTCATTGCTCTCCCAAGCAAGATGCAGGAGCAAACCCCACCCACATGGGCAGGGCCTAGGACAGAGGAGGTCCCACTTAGAGCCACGGTGGAGGAGCTCCCCTCCCCTCTGCTGCCGGGGCACCATCTGCCTCTCACAGCAGAACTTCACCCCAAGCCTGAGCCCTGGGGCCTGGCACATCTGTCCCATCCTCAGCCTTAAATCAGGCAGCCTCTGGGATACCCCACCCCGTTCCACCCCAGTGGCTGTCACCACCACCACCTGGCAGCACAGAGGGACCTAAGAACTGCAGGTAACAGGTAGGGGAAGAGGAAAAGGGTGGGGTGACCCCGAAAGTGGCCACTTGGAGTCTCCCTTGTGCTGGGAATCAGAACTTCTAGATTGTTCCAGTTATTTGGCTGCCATTTGCTGAGACGATCTCGGAGGGTTAGACGGCTCGGCCCCACTCAGGTCTGGGGAGCAGACCGGCTGGGACTGGGGTGGAGGCTGAGGCAGGGCAGACCCCTCTCTGGAGGAGTGGCCAGGCTGGGACGGGGGCTGGCTGGGTGTGGGAGAGGCTGGCAGGGGTGGGGACGGTGGTCACAGCTCCGACTCCGGGGTGCTGGCCAGGAGGTAGCCGCTCCCATAGCGTCCATTGGGGTTGCCACTGGGCTCCAGCGGCGACGTGCCGCCGGGCCCCAGGTAGGAGCGGTGGGTGGGCATGGGGGAGGGCGCCTCGCTGGGCACCTTGCTGAGGATGAAGCGGGTCTCGTCATTGTCCTCCAGGTTGGAGATGTCCTTCATCATGCGCCCTTTCTTGTAGGACACGGAGAGGGTGTTGGAGCCGTCGGAGAGCAGGTGGCAGTGCCTCAGGAAGAACACCACCGGGATGGGCAGGATGGCGACCACGATGAGCGTGACCAGGAGCGCCATGGCCCAGTTAGGGAAATACAGGTAGCGCTCGGCAGCCTGGGGACGGACAGGGGTGAGCGCTGCCGGCCCCCGCCACGGCCCCGCCCACTCAGGGCCACCGCTCCCGCCCTCTCCCCAGCCCGCCCACCGTCCTGGCACTGGCAGAGCCGAGGGGCAGCAGGGGTCGCTACTTGAGTTAGCTGTCACCTGCGTCCCAGTTTCTACACTTGCAAAAAGGGTGGGTGATTCCACTCCGTACACGGAGAGAAAACATGGGTTAGGAAGACTGGACAAATGTGTTAGCCCTTCTGACTGCTTCCCTGTCTGTACGACAGGGCTAGTGCCACCTCTCTTAGCTGTAAAGGTTACAGGTCAGGTGTGCAATGCCCCCAGCAGGGCCTGGCCCATAGCAGGTGCCCCATAAGGGTTTATGTCTATCACTTGTTGCATTAAAGGCCTGGGAAGGTGCCAGCCCCTGGGCCTCCGGGGCTGCCACCCCTCACCTCCTCTTTGATCCAGGCGCTGTAGCCCGGGGGCGTGACCCCCAGCTGGATGATGCTGGCCGTGGTGAGCACGGCCATGCACAGTGGAGACACGAACTTCCACATGTAGTAATAGAAGCGGTAGGGTCGGAAGCCCAGCATCTCCGTCAGCTCCTGCATGAACCTGCCAGGTGCAGCAGAGGGCCCAGAAGTTGGCACCCCGACTGTGCCTGCGCATTGCCCATAGCCGCCTCCACCAGGAAGCCTCCCCTGACCATTCCATCCCTCCCAGGCTCTTCCATTCTTCATGTTCAATGCTCCTGATGTTATCTGTGGACCTGCCGGCCTCCCCTCCGCTCGCACCNACCCCGACTGTGCCTGCGCATTGCCCATAGCCGCCTCCACCAGGAAGCCTCCCCTGACCATTCCATCCCTCCCAGGCTCTTCCATTCTTCATGTTCAATGCTCCTGATATGTTATCTGTGGACCTGCCGGCCTCCCCTCCGCTCGCACCGGCCTGGCTCCAGACTCCCCCTGCTGGAAATGAGCTGGAAGTGCACCTCCCGGGCGTCCAGAAGGCGGCCCTGACTGGGGGGTTTCTAACTACCCCGCCTGGGGGTGGAGTTCTGGCTGTGTCCATAAAAATCATCTTTACCTCAACACCTAACTGAAATCTTGCATTTCTTCCTATTATAAATGCAAACCACCACAGTAGTACCTGTGACTGCCGGCAACTGATTAAATCTCAGATATATTCCCATCACATTACAACTGAAGATACCTACAAGCATCGTTTATGCTCACAGCTACTTTGAAATTACCATTGTTATTAGGCCCATAGCTAGATCTTGTAACTGAACGCAGTAAAAATAAAGTACACAGATATTACCACATCTCAGATTTGAAACATAATTTTGCTAACTTTCAATATAATGCGTTGCCTGTACAATGCTATATATTTTATCATATGCATTTAAAAATAATATTCTGAGAAGGGGCCCAGGGGCCTCACTAGACTGCCAGAGAGTCAGCACCGAGTTCCAACCCTGGCTCCGCAGGCTGCTCTGCCTTGTCACCTGTCCGTCCCGCACTCTCCCAGGAAGTAGGACCAGGGACAGTGAGAGCCTGATTCTAAGGCCAGGTGCAGACATCAGGGGAGGGACAGGCTGAGCGGGTCAGTGGAGCCCTGGCCCTGCTGAGCGAGTGAGAACCTAGTCCCGGGGCTTTCTGGGGATACAGACTGGTTCTCAAATGAGGACTGAGACCAGGGGCTGACAATCAGTATAGTTCTGCCCTAGGGCTCAGGCCAAGGGACCCGATCGTTTCTTATTGCTGAATTCTCTGACGCAAACCACACCCTGCCTCACGCCCCTATGTAAATAGCCTTAACGCTGTGAGTTAGGCTGCTGAAGTCTCTGAGTGCTTGGAAGGCTGGGGCCCTTGTACACCCACTAGGTGCTGAAGCTCCACAGAATTCAAGGAGTTGGTGCCCAGGGAAGGTGTGATAATTCAAGGCAGTTTAGGGTGAGGTGGGGACCTGAACCCAGGAGACTTGTGTCCTCAGCCTGGCTCTTCCTCTCACCAGCCGAGCATTCCTGAGCGGTGATATCCTCTCTGTGAGCCTCAGTTTCTCTAAAGGACCTATGAGAGTACTTCCGGCTGACATTCTGACTCCGTGATCCCAGCCCCCCTGGCAGCAGGCTTGGGAGTACAGCGCTCTGGGGGCAGTCAGCTGGGACAGGCTCCTCCTCTCCCCACCTCTCCCCAACAGCCCCCTTACTTCTTGGTCCCATAGATCCAGGCCACAGCGATATTCTCAAGGATGACGATGACCGTGAGCGGCAGGGTGGCCGAGTAGTCATCAAACATGGTGACAAAGTAGTTTCCGGAACGCTGGACGAACAACAGCCCCACGAAGAATGCAAAGACACAGCAGCCCACTACAGAGAGCCGGAGGCCGGTGTGGGGGCAGGGGTGCAGGTGGGCGGGGCCCAGGGCTCTTGGGGGCACCCAGGCCCCTTCCATCCCACCCCTCCCCTGCCAGCAGGCCTACAACCCACCCTCCAGCAGCCCGACCCTGGGGGTCAGGAATGACGCCAGCAGAACCCAGTGTTTCTAAGTCAGAGCCACAGCCCTGTCGCCATCCCCAAGGGCAGCCCACAGGCAGGCGGAGGTGGCAGGAGGCGTTACCTGTGAACATCTCCTTGGGCACCTTGAAGGTGTCGATGATGGGCGTGGTGATGCCCGCCATGGTCCCGATCATGCTGCCCAGGCCCAGGTTGATGAGCATCAGGAAGAACATGACGGACCAGAACGGGGAGGCGGGGAAGTGGGTCATGGCCTCGGTGAAGGCGATGAAGGCCAGGCCTGTGCCCTGCACGGACTGCGGGTGGGGGCGGAGGTCAAGGGCTCAGCGAGGGCCCACAGCCACCCCAGGAGCCCCTTCCTTCGTTATCTCTGCCTTCAGGGCTTTAGAATCGACCGCCTGCCCCCCAGCTGGCCCGGGAAGGGCAGCCTGTCCCCACCTTGTCCAGCTCGTCCTCCAGCAGGCAGGGGTCGAGGCCCAGGGCTGAGAAGTGGCCCTCCTTCACCGTCCGGATGACCTTGTACATCTCCGAGTAGTCCTTGGTGGTCAGGTGGGAGAAATTCACGTGGGGAGGGATGAGGTCCTGGCTCAGGACGTTGGTGTGGAGGTACCCCAGGATCTTCTCCGCATTCCTGCAGCATAAAGCGCAGAGGACCAGGTAAAAAGGCAGGGAGGGGCGAGCACGATCGTGGGGGCACCTCCCTGGCACCCAGGCAGGACCCCCCTGGCCATCAACACAGACATCGGTGAACCTGTCCTCGTGCTTCAGGGCTGACTCCCATCCTTCAGCCTGGGGAGACATGCACGGCCCGCCTGCCCCCCTGGGTGGGGTGCGCAAGGAGCAGAAAGGACAGGAGGAGAGGCACCTACTCAACCACACATTTCTCATTCATGATGTTGGCCTTGAAGCCCAGCACAGCGAACACCACGAGCGTGGCCAGCACCGAGGTGAAGAAGTTGATCAAGGACACCAGGGCGGCGTCGAAGTGGCAGTTGTTGTCCTGCTTGTTGTAGCTGGAGAAGGCGATCACGCCCCCGAAACCCAGCCCCAGCGCAAAGAAGACCTGGGTGGCCGCCTCCCGCCACACCTGCGGGTCCAGCATCTTGTCCAGCTATGCGGGAGGGCGCCGCGGCAGGGGGGAGAAAAGAGACACACAGTGATAGTATTATCCAAGTGCCATGGGGTTCCCACCTACCCCCTCTCCTCAGCCTCACCAGGGCTCAGAGGCACCGTGGCACAGTGGCAAAGTGCTGTGGCTGTGTGACCTTGGGCATGTCCCCTAACCCCTCTGTAACTGTTTCCCCATGTGTAAAACACAGATACCAAGAGTACCAACTTCAGAGGATCACGGTCGGGCTTCAGAAAGATAAACACTGCAGGCTCGCATAGTAAGTTCTCAGTTAATTTTAACTGCTACCATTGCTTACCACGGAGCTACCATACAAGGAACATCTCCAAGGCCATCAAGTATGATGCGTAGGGCACAGCTCTAGGGAGTGCCGTTCACTTAGACTAGAGTGTGAATGGTGTCTCCTAAAGTTGTCCAGTGTACAGGCTGCACAATAGTACAAGAGAATTGAGAACATCAAGGTCTCCCAGAGACCTCATCCACTTCAAACCATAAACAAAGACACCAATGTCTCCTTCCTATCCACCTGCTCTCCCGTTTCCCAGAAATAAAAGGCCCAAAGTTCATTCATACACACCTACACGCTCCAGGTCACAGAGGAGCCCCACCTCGCCCCACCCAACCAGACCCATCTTTACTTAGCTGAGAAGACTTAGGCAACTGGTAGTGTCTGTTTTACGAACCTCAGTTTTCTCATCTGAAAAGTGGGAATGATAATAGAGCCCCTCCCAGAGTCGCTGTGAGAATCAAATGTACAGCCAGCAGTCAGGCCCGCACATAGGAGCATTTAATCCTGACAAAATGCTTCTGCCCTAGTCGGGACAGAGGAGTTTTGGTGGGAGCATGGTTTACGATTCACATTTTGAAAGAGCAGACTGAGGTGCAAAGGTGAAATGAGTTGCTCAAAGCAACGGAACTCGCTAGTCAGGGCAGAGCAGTTTCTAAAATATCGATCGTCTCCCGCCAGGCCATGGCGCCTTCCTACCACCGGCTCCTGATTCGGGTGGCCTGGGGAGCAGGCGGCAAAATCACCTGCCGGGGGCCAGTTGTGCTGGGAGGGGTGGTCTGAACGTTCAGACAGGTGGATGCGGTTTAAAATGGTCCCAGGGGAGCAAGGGGAGCGAGGCCACCAGAGACACGGAGCAGGTCACCTTCATCCCCAAAGCAACACAGGCCCACATTTCCTCACTGAAGCACTCCAGGGCCAGTCTGGTTTTGGAAATCGGGCTTTCATTTCTAATTTTATTGTTGAAAGGTAACATGGTGTGTATGCCACATAGTGACATGGCACCCCGAGCGGGGTCTGGGACAAACCTGTCACCAAACACATTCGTGTTTCTGCCGCAGAGTATGACTGTTCACAGCAAGTGACTCAGTGAGGACTATAAATAGGCTCACAGCTGCTCAGGTCATTTTGCCTCAAAATGAATTCCCGGAGAAAGAAAGAAAAAAAAATCACTCTTTTTTGCTTTCTGATTCAGGCTTTGCGAATTAGGAAGCCAGCCCGGCCTAGGGCGCTTGCTCCTATACCTGCTCCTAATAGAAAACTGAAGATTAGAAAAAAGAGAAAGACACAGTAGGCCTCACTTATCCATGGTTTTGCTTTCCATGGTTTCAGTTACCTACGGTCAACTGCGGTCTGAAAATATTAAATGGAAAATTCCAGAAATAAACGATTCATGTTTTAAACTGTGCGCCACGCTGAGCAGCGTGATGAAATTTCAAGCCGTCTGGCCTGGGATGTGAATCACCCTTCACCCAGCGGATCCACACTGGGCACATCACCTGATGGTTAGCCGTCTCAGTTACCAGGTCGACCGTCACAGTATCACATATTCGTGTTTGAATCACCTTCATTTTGCTTAATAATTGCTCCAAGGGCAAGAGTAATGATGCTGGCAATTCTGATGTGCCAAAAAGCAGCCATAAAGGACTTCTTGTAAGTGCAAAGGTATGTATGTACGGGGGAAACTATGGTATAGACAGGCTTTGGGACTATCCACGGTTTCAGGCATCCACGGGGGGTCTTGGAGCGTGTCCCCTACAGATATGGGGGGACAACTGTAATCATAGTCCCACTAGTAAAGGACTCAGCACCTTCCCTCTCCTGGGTGAATTTTTTTTAAAGATCCTCCCGGAAGTTTCCAGAAATGGGATAAGGACATTCACTGACGTAACAGATGTCAATCATGACAGTTCTACCAGTCTGGAGCCTGGGTACTTCTCTCAGGCTGGACACCTGGACCTGATGGGAGGGCTCTGGGTGGTTTGGTGAGTTCCAACCAGAAAGAAGCAAAAGGTTTTTTAACAGAGCGTAGGCTGAGGTGGACATCTCTCTGATCATGTCATTTGCATGTTGAAAAATCTTTGTTGGTTGCCTACTGTTGGCTGGGAAATCTTTTCCCTCTGTTTTGAACACTCTAACTGCCATGCACTTACTATTCTTCAAAAGCACCGTGATCTCCTACCTGTGGTCTTTGCCCAGCTATTCCCTCTGCCTAGAATTTGTTTCCTCCTACTCACTGTCTGGTGAACTCCTACTTATATCTCAAAACCCAGCACAAATATCACCTCCTCTCTGACGCTTTTCCTGACTGCCTCTAGCAGAGCTAGTCATGGTCCTGGGCTCTCACAGCTCTTGTCAATACCCAAATTACTGTTGTATGTGTCATCTTCCTTCCAACGCTTAGTGCTTTTTAGGGATGGAGCCCACCTGCTGTCATCTTTGTATGAGCAGTGCCTGGCACATGGAAGAGAAGGAAAGAGTGGAGCGAGGGACAAGAGACAGACCTACAGGCAAAGGCTGACCTGTGTCCTAAGGTCACAGGTGAGTCGGGCACCTTCAGTCTTAACGCTTGCTGTTCCTTGAACTTAAAGGGGCTCTTTCAGGATTTGGGGGGTGTTGGTGCATGATTTCAACAAGATCCCAATCACAGTGCCAACAGAGAATGAACCCACAGCCAGACCTTAGGAAGCTCAGTGTCCTTTCCAGACATCAGAATGTGTCTGCAAAGGGTGAGGTGGGAAATAGGCTTTTCTACCAAAGACGAGGCTCCAACCCTTCTTGGGGTGCCCCCCACAAACAGAGCAATGGCTTCCTGTCACTTCCTCAGCACAGTGGCTGAGTCACTGCCTCATGCAGGGAACAAGGTTGTTCCGTGGCATCTGACTCGGTGGCATGAAGATGCTCTTTGAATTCACAAGCAGCTATTGAACGCCCAGCCCGAGAGGGTTCGTGACAGGAGCACACACCCTGTTCCCTGGCACCGCTCAGCATCTGCCTGTGCAAGAGCCAGACGGGACCTCGGGACACCAGGTGGCACTGGAGCGCCGGGTTCCCACTGCCTAGGAGCGGTGTCACCTTCATGAGGGACGAGAGGAATAACAGCTAACGCGTTCAGTGCGCCCCCTGCATGGCAACAGCAGTCCTACGCCCTCTCCTGTGACAACTGCGGCGGAGCCACCACGGTTCACCCCATCTTACAGCTGAGGAACCTGAGGCCCTGAGGGGCCAAGGGACTTGTCCTCCGACTGCTGAGCTGGGATCTGGACTCAATCATCTGGCTCCAGAGCTCCCCCTGATGACAGGCTGGGCTGCCCTTTCCTCCTGTTCAGAAGCCTTGTCCTAACTGTGGGAACCAAGAAGTCCCACCACGAACCTCCACACTGGGCCTTCGGGGCCCTCGGGGAGCCCACCTCTCTCCTCGAAGGGCCCACGCACCCCCTCGACCCTGTGGCCAGTCTGGCGCACTGTCGGGGCTGCCCACTTGTCTGGCCCCAGCGGCAGCAATGCTGAGCTGTGCCCCATGCAGCTGCTCGGTGCACAGGTCTCAAGATGGGCCTCACAGAGCCCCCTCCAGAACACATCGTCTGCTCCCAAAGCTCAGGAAAGCGCAACTGGACGACTCAAGCATAAGCATTAGGCCGACTCTAGAAATACACTTGAAGTCATTCATAAAACAGTTGGCTTTCTTCTCGCGGCTGGTTTCCCCCAAAGAAACCAGCTTTGCATTTTACTCCTGTCAGACACCACGTGTTCCCCAACCCTGCGCCAGCCACGTGGCCCAAGTCACACTCATGCCTCCAGAGATTCACTAAGTGCTTCATGAAGTGGACCTCCGCCGTGGTTCCCATAGGAACCTCAGAAGTGGCTTCCCAGCATGCCGAGGGCTGGCTCCTGTGGCTGGTGTGTGTGGAGCCCTGTGTCCTGCTCGTTGCCAGGCGAGGAGTCGGAGGGGGTGGGGACTGCAAAGCCCACTGGATCGGGACTCTTCTCCCTGCGGCATCTGTATGAACTTCCTGTGTGTGAGTGTGTGTGTGTATGTGAACACACATGTGACATGGCACTAGTGAGGGCCAATGTTAGAGCCTCAAGCTGGCAGGGTTCTGACCAGGCCCCTGCTGGCTGCTGACTGGTCAGCTGGCATTTGGAGGTGACTTCCCAGCCTGCCCAGCGGGGTTACTCATTACATTGCTTGGGGCACCTTGAAGGACATCCCAGCAGGCATTTGAAATCCTCTTACTTGTCAGGGGACCAGCTCACGCCAGCTGTGCCCAGTGGTCTAAAAGGGAACAGAGGCAGGGGCACGAGGTGGGCAGAGACCGCCGGCAGGAAACCTGGGTGACCATCTTCAGGATGCCTGCGCGGCGTGTGAAGCAGGCACAGTGGTCCTGCTTGGCCCCCTCACTGGGCTACTGAGATGATGAAATGAGCGGAGATGTGAATGGATTCGGTGAGGGAAAAATCACTGTCCAGGTGGCCTATTATCTTTAACAAAATAGTAACGTTGTTCCCCTGATTTGGGTACAAGCTGGGATTCCAGGGGGAGCGTCCGTCTCTTGGACATCTTCTTGGCTCCTGCTGTCGCAGACACACCCATGAAACCCACCCACCACTCTCTGTCCCCATGCCCCAGCCAAGCCTGACTTCCCACCATTCTCCTCAAGCACTCCCAGTGCTTCTCACTTTTGCTCATGTGGTCCCTTTGACCGCAAATGTCCTCTTGCCGCTCACTGAAATCCTATCTGCTCACGGAGGCTCAGTTCACATGTCACCTCCTCCCTGAAGCCTCTTCTGATTTCACCCAAATTAATGTGATGTCCCTCTCCTTGGGACCCTGAGGGCAGGGTCCATGCTCTGTCCCCAGTGCATCCCTCCAGGGCCTGACACAACACCTGACACACAGCAGGTCCTCCATGAGTGTCACGCTGCATGTGGCTGACCGGCTGGTGGAGCTGTGGGTGCCCCAGGCCCTACCTTGGGAGTGAACATGTGCAGGATGCCATCCACGGCCCCTCGCAGCAGCAGCCCCCGGACCAGGAAGCAGGCCAACACCACGTAGGGGAAGAGGGAGCTGAAGTACATCACCTGCAGAGAAGACAGGGACCCACCGTGGGGCAGGGCCCTCCTGCAGCTGGCACCTCCCTCCCTGCTCACAGCTGGGGCACATGAGCCTCCTCTGATAGCTGCCGAAAGCAGAGCCCTGGGACCCCTGGGCACGGGGCCAACACCACCGCATGTCTGGCCTGGAGCCAAGGCAGAAACAGGAGCCCAGAAAAGCTGGAGTCAGCATGGCTGGGCCTGGGGCTGCTTTTCTCCTTTCAAGGGCTGGCAGGGCTGGGCCCGCAGCCTCCCCACCCCCAAGGGCCGCCAAGGGGGCGAGGAACCCTTTGCTCTCCCTTCCTCATTTTTTTTCATGTCTCCAGCCTGCGTTTCTGTCCCTGGCTCCAGCAGACCCCCTGGGGATCTCCCCTGTCCTTAGAGGCCTCTGACAGAAGGCATACAGGAGGTTATAGTCACGGCTCCCAAGCAGAAACATCAGAAGAAGGTCCTGCCTCTTGTGATTATAAATCACGTCCTATTTTCTAGCATGTGTGTTTCTTGTGCATTTCCACATCCCCATGTGCCTGGCACAGAGCCTCACGCGAACAAGATGCTCACACAGTGTTTGCTGCACTGAAACAAGCCAGGAGGGCTGCTTGGGCAGCGTGGGGTGAAGGTCAAGAGCGCCCGTGTCTGCAGCTGGACTGCTTGTGCTCTCATCCTCGCTCTACCGCTTACGAAGCACGTGACCCTGGGCTGTCTACTTAGCCTGGGCGTGCCTCCATCTCCTCATCTATAAAATGGGCACAATAGCTCCTAACTCATAAGGTTGCTGTGGATCAAATGCATTCATACACGGATAGGTGCCACACAGTGTCAGCTGCAATGCTGGCCTTCAGAGAGGGAAGGGGAGGTGGCTGAGACCACGCTACTGTTCCAAGGCTCAGCTTCCTTGCTTATCAAGTCTGGGAAAGAACCTGGGGCCTCGGACAGACAGACAGTGCTCTAATTCCAGCTCTAATTCCAGCAACTGGCCTCTGGTTCCTTAGGAAGGTCCTGAGCTGGGGGATGAAGACCTGGATTCCCTCCCTCGGTTAAATTAGACTGGCTGCGTGATCTCAGGAGGTGCTTTTCCCTCTCTCGGCCTCAGTTTCCTCATCTGAAAAATGAGTCGATTGGGCTACAGGATCCCAAACGCCCTTTCCAGCCCTGGCAGTCCATGAATACTGACACGTGACAGAATGAGCCTGTTTGGAGGGGATCTGAACTGTGGGGAGGAGGTGTGTGGGACTCGGCTGGTCTGCACCCGCAGAGACCTATGTGGAGCCTCTCCGAGGGGTGTCCACCAGGACACTAGCAGTGACACGCCATTGCCTCCTCAGGGGCCTGCGTCCTTGACCTGTGTGATCCAGGGGCCACGGCCACCCACAGGACCCTGCGTGGGGCAACCCAGATTTCTCAGCCCCCTGCCCTCCATCATTTTCTCAGACTGTGGGGTCTGAATGCCCCCTCCCGACTCACCTTCCCTGAGGATTGGATCCCCTTGACAACAGCCATGCCCACGACGGTCCAGGCCACGAGGAGGCACAGGGTCATCTTCCAGTTGAGGCCTCCGCTCTCCGAGATGGAGTTGGAGATGTCCAAGGCCTCCCGGTACCAGAAGTAGGTAGTGGCCGAGCTCTTTTCACACTCCGCCTCCACCACTGCAACAGCAGCACAGGCCTCAGGGGCCGGGCCGCCGGGACACCCCCGCTGCTGGACCCCCACCCAGGCAGCAGTGGGCAAGGGGACAGCCGAGCGTGGGTCTGCAGGGAGGGGCTGTCCCTGTTCTGGGTTACCCAGGATCTGGCAGATCCTGAGGACTCCTGGGTTCCCGGCAAGGCCTGGGAGGCTTCAGCACATACTGATCTACAGTCCCACTCGTGCTACCCCGCCCACGTCCACCCGTCGGGGGCAGGAAGGATAAGTCAGAACTGGCCTCTGGTTCCTGAGGAAGGCCCTGAGCTGGGGGCTGAAGACCCGGATTCCCTCCCTCGGTTAAATTAGTGGTGTGACCAGGGAAAGTTGTTTCTGACCTCAGTTTGCCCATCTGTGAGGTGGGAGAAATCACCCAGCCCTTTATGGAAACAGCATGCAAATTAAGGCTGTTTCCGGAGAGGACTGCACTTGAGTAACACAGGGAAGTTGGTAACAACTAAGGAAAAGATCCCATTGCCAGAGTTTTTCCCTATACTCACTAGTTCATTCAGCCCCCATAAGAACTCGTGGGACAGGCTGGCGAGAGGGCATCGGAAGGGGAAATGAGGCTCAGGGAGGGCAGGAGTCTTATTTAAGGTGACACAGCGAGTCAATAAAATTCCAATTCTGTGCCTAAGCCCCTTAGGCTCATTGGACTCCTTCCCGGGACAGGGCTGGCTGGGGTCCCCAGCTGGTCATACACAGTCGGTCCTGTACTTGCCTGCCACAGTCCCATTCCTCACAACAGGACACTCGCTCCAGGGCAGTGGGTACTGGAAGGACTTGAAGAAGTAGAAGATGCTCCACCCAATGATCACATTATAATACAGTCCAACAAAGAGGCAGACCTGAGGACAAGGGTCCAGGTGCGGGGGTCACAGAGGTGGCAGGGAATCCCCCCTTCCCCCACCCCACCCCGCTTAGCACTGGACAGACTGTACGCAGCACGGAGCACAGAGCATGGCCTTGGGGGGGCTGAGATCTGGCAGCTGAAGGCCCCTCCCAACCTCCATTCATCTGGTATTCAAAGAATCCACAGAGGAATGTTTCCCATATTAAAGTTCTCTCCTTTAAGTAATAAACTCTTAACATGTTAATCCTTCCCAGTTTGAAATTCTCCTACGATGCTTAAAGCACTCCTCCATCGTTTCCTGATGTCTCAGCGTCACAATTCCAGAGCTGCCCCCTGGACAGGGGGACACCCGCAGCTTTGGCCTCCGGGACAACTATGCCCAGATCTCAGTGCCTACTGAGATTTTCTGGATGCTTCTTGTTAGTTTCCTGTGTCCACTCTTCTCTTAGGACACTCCTCTCCCTTGGTAATGTCTCCAGTCACCTCTAGAGAGATGTCAGTTCTCATCTCTGGGAAGATGTCACTTCTGGTTTCTGGGAAGCACCATAACTAATTTCGGTAGAACTGACCGAGGGTCCCAGGTGCTGCTTTGAAAGCAGAGCTTCCTCCTGCACAGATCTGTTATGTGGAGGGTGACAAGTCCCTCCTATCTCCCGGGGCCCGGTTATATTACGCATCAGTGACACTGCAGGTAGGTGCGACAGCCAAGAGCTCCTCACTCATCGATGTCACCTGAGCCCTAGCATGCAGGAGCCGACACTCCCACAGCACACCCTACAGGGGATGTAGAGGGAGAGGGACACCCACTTCCCTTTACTTGGGTGCTTCCAGCCCAAGGGGACTCCACTCACACACATGGCCATGGCCAGCCCCAGCACTTCACAGGAAGTGCCCAGTGCCAGCCCGACTCACGATGCAGCTGGAGAAGCCGATGCCCCCGAGGCGGGGACACACGTAGTGCCACACGCCAATGCTGCCCCGGCGGATCCTCTGGCCCACGGCCAGCTCCAGGAAGAAGAGCGGGATCCCGATGATGATCAGCAGCACCAGGTAGGGCACCAGGTAGGCACCTGGGGAGGAAGGAGAGACGTTTGAAGTGTGGCACCAGGGTAAGGGAGGGCTGGCAGCCAGCTCCTGCAGTCCCGCCCACATCTCTGATCATCTCAAACTGTCACTGGTCCTCATGCTCCTCCAGGAATGATCTGGCTCATACGTGTGACCTACCACGCACTGGTCACCTAGACCCTCCTTCCCCTTGATTCCCCTGACCTGAAACACCAAGCGAGGTCCCAGACATACTTCAATGCCTCCTGCTTACAAGGCTAGACCTAAAGACAGACAGACAGACAAATCCTGTGCCTCCTGGAATCCATACATCAAGTCACACGCCGTGTGACACACTGACTTCATGATGTACTCTGTGGACACCCCCTGCTCACAACCCCCCGCCCACAGAGCGGCAGCCCAGATGGAGTGGGCCCCCCGGAGGCGCAGACCCCAGGCACAGCTTCCCCGAGTCCCAGCCAGATGCTGACGCAGCAGACTGGGCAGCTCCAGGGAAGCGGAGCTTGGACGCTCTCCAGAGAGAGGTTCTGACCAGCATGGCCATTAATCTACAGCTAATTGGGAGGAATGGGAGAGAAATTAGCAGTCCGGGAAAGTGTAGCTGGGAGGATCGAGGATAGAATGGGTATTGCCAAAGATTCCAGATGATAAATTAAACCCGCTGTCCTGGGCATCACTGCAGACACAATCTCGTTTCCCGGTGACAGGGCGTTTAGCAGGAGAATTAAAACCATGTCTGGACACAGACGAGCGAGCCCATCGAGAGCTGTGCCAATGACCTAGTCCTGTTAGCAATGCCGTTGGCATAGCCCTGCCTGTTGTCTAATGGTGTCAGACCAGCACTGGTCACCAGTGCCCTGATGGTCACCCAGCACCACCAGACCAAGCCCTGTGAGCTGGGAGTCTCCAGAAGGCCCTTCAGTCACACCACTCTGCCCCCATAACATGACATCCCATATGCTCCCCAATATGTGCTCAATCTGCCAATAAGCCCAGGGGATGTGCATCTCCTGGGCACAAGACCCCGCACTTGGGAGCCTTAGGCCATCAGTCTGAACAGCAGGGAGCACTGCTCAGGGTGGTGGCAGGAAATTTAGCAAACGATGGCTACAGGGATTGGATTCCAGGATCTCCAAGGTCTCCTGGGTGGCTAACAGTCTATGTCTCGGTCTACACTTTGGTTCTTATTTCTAGCCAACCCCAGGGTTATTCCTGGGATTTGAAAGACTGCCTTGGTCTGTTGAGATGCACACTGAGTAAGGGTTGAGACCCAGACTCTGAGGAGCAGAAGGAGTTTGATACCAGAGGAAGATCCTCTAGGGGGATTCAAACTCAGGGGCAGCAAGAGGCCCCTCCTACCTGGGAGGCAGTACATGTGGTAATTGCATGCACAGGCCCTGGGGCCAAGCTGTCCAGGTTTGAAACCTTACTTTATCACTAGCTGTGTGACCTTGAGCAAGTCACCTACCCTCTCTGTGCCTGAGTTTTACGGTCTCTAAAATGAGGATGAGAATAACATGGGGTTGTTGGGGGGACTCAATGGTTGGCCCATATGAAACCGGTGCTTTGAATGTTCCAAGATGTTCAAACATCAGCAGTTTCATCTATTTCAGACTAAAATGCAGTAAGTGCTTAGGACGGGCCTGGCACCTAGTGAGCATTTAATAATAACGGCCAGAAGTTCTTTACAATGTGTTAAGCGTTCTACATGCAAAGCTCTTTCCATCCTCCCAACTCCTCTGGAAGGCAGGAATTGCTATTATTCCCATTTCACAGAAGAGGAACAGAGAGGCACAGAGAGATAAAGCTGCATGCACAGAGCTGACTGGCTGAGCAGGGACTTGAACCCAGGCCGTCTTAGCAATTCCTGGGGAGTCTTACTCCACAGTCCTGAGCTCTGACCTGCAAGGGTTCCAATCCTGCCTAGGACAGGGGGTTCCTTTTCACTCCTCAGCTCAGCCCATGTGCGGGGTACCCTGGGCAAGCAGGCCTGCCTCTTACCGCCTCCATTCTTCTGGCACAGGTAGGGGAACCTCCAGATGTTGCCGAGGCCCACGGAGAAGCCGATCTGGGCCAGGATGTACTGCAGCTTGCTGTTCCAGGCCGGCCGGTCCTCGGCGTCCAGCTCCTCCTCAGCCGCCTCCTGCTTGCCGCCCGGCCCGCCCGCCACATTCAGGACACTCTGCTTGTAGTCCACGGGCTCCTCGAGGGCCAGCAGGTCGGCCACCGACTCCGTGACATGCTCGCTGCTGTGCTCCCGCTGGGTCACCTTGCTGTTCTTCGGCATCTGTGCCACTGGGGCCACACGGCCCTGCTCCCCAGCACACAGAGAAGGTGGGACCCGACCGCTGTCAGCTCCTTCTCATTCAGGGCCTGTGAAGCCAGGTGAGCAGGAGAGGATTAGCCGCTGGCCAGACCACGAGGTGGGCAGCTCAGCTGGTCACCACCAAATCAACTCCTTGCCACACACACGGAGCTGATCAGTGGCATGAAATATGGAGGTGGCCTTCCTCCCCACTGGGGGTGCCCACTGAGGAACCCAGGTCTGCAGACTCAGTTTCCCCACAGGCCCTATGTAAGCATCATTAGAGGGGCAAATGTAATGAGGCAGAAGAGGCCACACCAGACACCAAACCCAAATCGAGGGTCATCCACGCAGCATTGCTCCATCACACATGCAGATCTGAGTGCTCAAAACCAAGTGGGGGGCGTCTCACAG